GTGCAGCCAAGGTTGAGAACTGCTGCTTTTAGGTAACAGTCTGCTTCAAGAGCTGGCTGCCCTCCTCTGGACTTGTCTGCAACTACAACAATTTCACAAGGGCTGGTTTGAAACTTGTCACATTATACTATTGGAGCTCTGAATCCTGACTTGTATAGTTAGGTGATATTTTCTCATTTGGATAGAAAAGATGTCACTTCATGTTTTTCATTTTCAGCATTTACTTTCCACTTGCCTTTGCGCGTACTTTTCCACAGCTATTTTTACTTTCTAGGATCATTAAGAGAGGAAAGTTCTGATGTCTCGAAAAGTTGTAGAGGAAATACGTTCCCTCTTCTTTCCCTTATATTTTCTCTTCCTGTTTTATTTTGTCTTTGCAATAAACCTCAAAGTGGAAATAGAAATGATTACAGAAGCATTAGGATAACTTCTATAAAGTGAAAAGATAAATACAGAAGAAGAGGTAATAATTTTTAAATTATAAAAAAAATACCTAAGGCCCTAACCGGTTAGGCTCAGTGGCTAGAGCAGGGGTCCTCAAACTTTTTAAACAGGGGGCCAGTTCACTGTCCCTCAGACCGTTGGAGGGCCGGACTATAGTTTTAAAAAAAACTATGAACAAATTCCTATGCACACTGCACGTATCTTATTTTGAAGTAAAAAACAAAACAAAAGGGGAACAAATACAATATTTGTATTTGCATGTGGCCCGCGGGCTGTAGTTTGAGGACTCCTGGGCTAGAGTGCCAGCCTGCGGACCAAAAGGTCCCGGGTTTGATTCCAGTCAAGGGCATGTACCTTGGTTGCAGGTTCCTCCCTGGCCCAGGCCCTGGTCTGGGCTAGTGCAGGAGGCAACCAATCAATGTGTTTCTCTCACATCAATGTTTCTCTCTGTCTTTCCCTCTCTCTTCCACTCTCTCTAAAAATAAATGGGAAAATATCCTCAGGTGAGGATTAAAAAAATAAATTAAATAAAAATGCCTAAGGAAAAGACTAGGTTGCTTAAACACGTCTTCAATAGAACGGAGATGATGGCCCGGGCTAGGACAGAGAGGCTGCCATGAAGCAGCCGGGACAGGTTCTAACTGCCTGAACACCTGGGAATAGTGTTTGCACTTTCCTCTTCTTGAGGGCAAGAGTGGAGGTGTGATTTTCTTAATGTATCCAGCCTGAGTTCTGCGTAATGATTGGCACATAGCAAATGGGCAGTAATTTTCTCAATTAAATAGAGTAAATAAAACCAAATTTAAAACTAAATGTTTTGCAGCAGAGATTAAGGTCAGATCCATGAATATAAAATAACGTTCAGATATATGTCACACCTTATCAACACTTCCAAGAGGGATATCCAGAGGCGGGGAAAGGAAGGTCTGAAAAAATTAAGCCTCGTAGAGTTTCCTTAAAAGTTATTATTAACAACAGGAAGAAAGAACCAGATGGTTCTATCATTAAAAGTTCAGAGTAGGTTTTTGTTAAGATGATGAGCATTCCATTGAATTAGGATTTTTATTATTTTATCAATTGCAGTTGACATTCAATATTATTTTATACTAGTGCCTGGTACACAGATCTGTGCACATCGGAAGGAAATTAATTAGAAGGTGGCCGGTGGGAGTGGGCAAGACAGGCCAGACTTGCCCTGGAGCCAAACTCACACAGTCCCTCCCTGGCCCCAGGGCGCACCTGGGGTGGCACCACAGCTGGGCAACTGGCCCTGTTTTCCCAGCCCACTCTGTGCTCACTACCCTTCACCCCCCACAACCCCGTGCTGCCCGCCTCACCTGTGTTCCCTGAGGAGCTAGTGTTCCCCACTGGCCCTGTGCTCCCAGAGGACCCTGACTTCCCAGAGGGCCCTGTGCTCCCGGTAGCCACCCTGCACCATGGGGGCCCAGGTTTATGCAGCCTCCCTCCACACTGCCCCTTGCAAGTCTTCCCAGCAGCAGATCCCAGTGCCTCCAGCTACAGCCAGGCCTGGTAGGATCTTGTGCAGGGCACCCAGGGCATGGTCCCCACTGTACCTGCTCCAGCTCCAGCTCCAGCCGAGGCCACAGTCTCGCCTCAGAGCCCCGAAGTTGAAAATTTCTCTGCAGACCCTGATTTCACAGAGCTGCCCTCACCCCACGGCCCCTTGGAGGGGCCCTTCTCCTCCCCCAAGCCCTGGTACAACTTTGTGAGTAACAGCGACATGGACCTCTTCAAGTTCCTGGATCTATAAGGCATTCTGTCCCTGCCAAATCCTGCAGATGCCTCGGGACCTGAGGGAACCAGGGCGTGGGCCAACGCAGGTGCGAGAGGCGCTGGTCAGTGGATTTTTGCTTCCAGTTGCTCTTCTGCAGCTGGACGGGCATCTGCGGTCACCACAGTTTGGCAGTAAACCAAGGCCGACAGTGCCCCAGCACAACTACCCATGGCCGAAGGTAGAATCCTGCAGCCCCGTGAGGAATTGGGCTCCCTCCTCTCTGGTATCCGGGTGGGTCACCCGAGAACCTACGCTGCCAAGTCACTGCAGCTCCTGCGTTGAGCGTGACAGCGATGTGGACCTCTTCAAGTTCCTGGATCTATAAGGGATTCTGTCCCCACCAAATCCTGCAGATGCCACAAAACCTGAGGGAACCAGGGTGTGGGCCCATGTGGGTGTGAGAGGCGCTGGTCAGTGGATCTTTGCTGCCAGTTGTTCTTCTGTGGCTGGAAGGGCATCTGCGGTCACCACAGCTCAGCAGTAAACCAGGGCCGACAGTGCCCCAGCACAACATAACCCATGGCCGAAGGTAGAATCCTGCAGCCCCATGAGGAATTGGGCTCCCTCCTCTCTGGGTCCAGGTGCAGCACCTGAGAACCGCCACTGCCAAGTCACTGCAGCTCAGCAGCTCCTGAATTGAGCATCTGCCCCCTGTTGGTCAGTACACATCATACCTACCGGCCAGTTGGATGGTCGGATGGTCAAACAGTCGCTTAGGCTTTTATATGTATAGATTCGTTTCAGAGTACAGCATGTTGGTTAGACATTCATATAATTTATGAAGTGATTCCCCCCATAAGTCTAATACCTACCTGGAACTATAATTTCTCCTCTTTCTTGTTCGTAAAGGGCCACTGGCTTAGGCTTTTATATGTATAGATTCGTTTCAGGTGTACAACATATTGGTTAGACATTCACGTAATTCATGAAGTGATTCCTCCCATAAGTCTAATACCCACCTGGAACTATAATTTCTCCTCTTTCTTGTTCGAAGTACAGGAATGACTTTAAATAATATTGTAATAACCATGTGTTACTATTACTATATAGTAGGGATTCCTCCATTCGTCCCAGGGACACAGAAGGCTGCTGGAAACCCACGTGTCCTATTAAAGGATGAACACACAAACTCTTGCTCACAGGCACCCACCATGGGCTCTGGAGAGAGAACAGCGGCTTGGAGAACACCAAAGGCATACAAGGAGAAGCTGAGTTGTGTGGCTTCAGGGCAAGGGCTGGAGGGACAGCTGCCAAGGTCTCTGTGTTGAGGTGTCCTCTCCCATGGCTCATGGGCCCCATCATTCCTGTGGTGAGCCTTTCCCCCTTGTGGCCAAACCTAACTCTGCATTAGTCTGGTCAACTCCATTAGCTCCACCCAGATAACTACCTGGGACCCTGCTTCACCCAACTCACGTTCTGACAGGCTCTTACGGTGACCGAGCCTTACAAACAGCCGGTGAATGGTCTCAGGTTTGGAGATGCCTTACCAGTGGTCAGCAAACTGCGGCCCCTGAGTGTGGCTCTTCCACAAAATATCACGTGCAGGCGCACACATACAGTGCGATTGAAACTTCGTGGCCGCACTCAAGGGGCCAAGGAGCCACATGTGGCTCGCGAGCACAGTTTTCCAACCACTGCCTTAGGCCTTGTGCTGACCTGGCAGCACCTGGCCTCAGTTCACAGTGAGGCCCCTCCCACATGCATCCAGGCTCAGTACAGCCAGCTTCCAACGGTGAGTGGCTTTAACATGTAGCGCCTAACATGTCGCCCCACCGCCTCACCCCGCCACCTGTCACAGGCAGCATCTGACATTGATCTGCACTGGAGTCCCTCCCAAGAGGCCCCAGGACCAACACACCTGGGGGCCAGCTTCAGATCACAAAAGAACACCACCGATTAGCTCCACAAGCTGCACACCCAAAGGGAGGTCTTGGCGGGACCAGACCCACTGGGATGAATCCTGTTCACGAAGATCACCAAAATGGAAATAGAGGGAACATACCTCAACATAATAAAGGCTGTATATGGCAAACTCACAGCTAATAGTATACTCCATCGGGAAAAGCTAAAAGCAAATTCTTTAAGATCAGGAACTAGACAAGATGGCCCACCTTTACCACTTATATTCAACATAGTATTAGAAGTCCAAGTCACAGCAATCAGACAAAAGAAAAAAAGAAAGAAGATGCTTCCAAATTGGAAAGGAACAAATAAAACTGTCGTTATTTGCAGAGGACATGATACCATATAGAGAGAATCCTAAGTTTCCATCACAAAACTACTAATAAATGAATTCACTAAAACAGCAGGATACAAAATAAATATTCAGAAATTGGTTGAATTTTCTACACCAATAATGAACTATTAGAAAGAGAAATTAAGAAAACAAACTCATTTACAATTGAAAATATATATAACTAGAAATATTGTTGTTACTCCTATTATATTTTAGAAGTAAAATATTTTAAAGGAAAAAGATCTAGGTATTTTAGTACCTTTATACTTTTTCCCACTTTTGAACAAGGGGTCTCCTGATTTGACGCCATGTGGAAGGAACCATTGAGTTCAGCAAGGGAAAATAAAAAAAAAAAAGAATATTTGTGTTCTGGTTCTTGAAACTCTGTTCATAAAAATACCTAATATGTGTATAACATCTCTATCACAGGCATAATTCTGAAATGGCCCTTAAAATCCCAGGTCCCTGGTGTACACACACCTTCTCCTGGGTTTTCCAATCAAGCACTAAGCTGGGTGTTGATGTGAAAGGATTTTGCAGATAAAGTGTGTCCCAAAATTCACGCAAGATTTGAATTTTGCATGAACATTAACAACAACAACAACAACAAAAATAAAAGCCTAATTTTACTTGGTTTATTGAATCAGATTCTAATATCTGTTGCCCTTTGATTTCAATCCCTTCAATTTGATAAGCATTACCAAGTACCAATTATGGCCCAGGAGCAGGGACAATGAAGACCAATGACGACCACAGCTTTGTGTATGTGCCAGCAAAGCCGTGGAGGCCATTTACCTGATTCCATACATAACCCTATACTGTATGCTTTATGAATCAATAAAAAAAATTACAATTTTTAATTATAAACCTGTGTTTTCTATCAAAATTACTTCTTGATATTTTGGGACATCCTTTATAAAGAGATTTGTAAGATCTCACGATTTCAGTGAACGAATATTTTCCAAATGATTGATACATATAGTACAAAATCACACATGGGTAAAAGAGATTCATTCAAGGACAGATTGATATATTTTTAGGTAGCAGAATTTTTAAAGTTCAGTTTTAGTTTTAGACTCCACATTACAAGTAATCTTTAAGAAAGTATCATTTATTGAGCTCTGGTGTGATAGATGATGCATTATATAAACATATTTTCTAGTATCAAATTATCTATATTTCTAAGATACTCTTCTTAGTCACGGTGAATGGGTTTATTAATGTGATGTTTTAATTCTGTCACAGTGGAACCCATATGATATTGGGAAAATACTGACTGCTTGAATCAGAGTTCTGCTACTTGATAGCTTCTGTGGTTTGTTGCTTTTGCACATAGTAGGTACTGAATAAATGATAGTTATCATCTAAGGGCATGCAGTAGAGAATAAGCTATCGTTTAAGAGTGTGGTAGGGTTGTTAAAAAAGATAAAAAAATAATATTTTTATAAAGTGCTTATCACAGTCCCTGTCACAGAAAGAACATTCAATAAAGGTTAGCTCTTATTATATGTTTTAATGTTATTTAGAATTAACTGACTTTAATGTGTGAGGACAGTCTATTTTCAAATCCTATGTTTGATAAACCTATAAGTTTACTTCAGTGTGTAACTTTGACTACTTCTACAAATTTTAACAATAGTGTTTTAATTTCCATTACTTACTAAATTTGTCATTTTATTTTTTTCTCTCTGACTTGATTGTAATTTATCAATATGTTTTAAAATGTCTAATTGGTTTAAAATTTGTTTAAAATTAATTCAGGCTTTGTTATCTGAGCATACAACTTCTAGTATTTTTTCTCTGGAGAAATTATTGATATTTTCTTTGTAATCTAATATATGAAAATTTTTGTGAATTATTTATAAATATTTTAAAGAAATTATTTTTCCTATTCTGAATTATAGTGCAGCAGAGTCTTAACCACTAATTTACTTTTTTCATATTTAAATGTATTTTCTGCCGAAACTGGTTTGGCTCAGTGGATAGAGCGTCGGCCTGCGGACTGAAGGGTCCCGGGTTTGATTCTGGTCAAGGGCATGTACCTGGGTTGCGGGCACATCTCCAGTGGGAGATGTGCAGGAGGCAGCTGGTC